GTACACAGGGTGCATAAAATGTGATTTATGACAACTGGCCACAGATGCAGGCTTTCTGAATCTACCTTCAGGACTGCAAACAAGTTTGTTTGCTAAATTGAGCCAACAACATCAAACAGAAATCAATTCAGATCAGAAGCCGTTTACTAAATAATGAGTTTTGACCAAGGGAATAACGGGCCCACTAGCTTTTCTCAATTCTTTTTCAGGATCTTAGATAGTTTATGTGTAAGTTTCACCACAAGGTGGCATGTCTAGTTCAGTGGCTATAAATTGGGAACAGTTTTGAGATGGATTTTGCAGAATCAATAAATTCAATATATATTGAAAATGCCGAGCTAGTTAAAGTGGGAGAGAAAAACAAATTTTCCTCTTGAGTCTTGCAATTTTAGTGATTCAATTGCTGTGTCCACCATATTTTATTCCTTCTCCTTGGACCATTTTATTTCTGTCACCTCATCTTTCTGAGTCCTGGGTTTATTGCCACTGTGAATGATGCCTTGTTAATACGTTAGTAGCTATTCAAGTGTTGTTGACCATTACTCATCTTTACGACCAGGGCTGAAATTCAAAATACTGGCATGATCACCGGAGCAGACCCAGTTTTAAACTGTGTATCAACCCTGATTGTAACTTAAGCCATTTGTGGACATTAATAGAAAAAACTTTGATTCATCAAGGGTCTTGACTCTTACCTATCTTAATGTGTTTTTGTGTTTGTGTGTTGTGTATGTGAACTCAAGGCTGTGCGTGAGGATAATATTCCTTCAGAGGCACTGTTCATTGTCAGAACTCTGCCAATGCACGGATACTTCCAAAAATCTTTACCAGAAGAAAGCAGCTTGGGTGAAGATGAAAAGTCCCGTTGACATTTACACAATAAGGTATTGATGATGGTAATATTTGTTACGTGCAGACAGCTCTTGACCAACAACAGGACCATTTTTCACTGGATGTGATGAATGGTTTCCAAGCTGTGAGGGGAGTTGAAATCCGTCCCTAAGTGGATTCCTCTGGAGGTACAAAATATCACAGTCCAAGAAAGTGGGTCCAAAGCACTTCTGGAAGATTACCTCAAAATTCCAAGCAAATATTTTGAGGTACTTGACTCTACTCAACTCAAACCACCAAAACATGGTCATGTTGAAAATTGTCATTTTCCAAGAGTAAAGCTAAGGAAATTTACCAGGAAACAGGTAATAGCTCTCAGTTAATATATTTGGGTATGTTGGATAAGAGAAGGAATTTGGCTATTTATTATTTAGATTCATAGACTCTTGGGAGTGATGGGGCTTCAGAGGGTATGTAGTTCAACCTCCCAACAGATGCCAGAAGGCCTTCCCCAATCACCCATAGAGAGGCCATCCAGCCATTGTTTGAATATCTTCAGGGATGGAGAACTCATTACTTCCTGAGATGGGCCCTTTCATTTTAAAAACACTCCAATTGTTAGAAAGTTCTTTATGCTGAGCTGAAATCTGCCACTTAGAAACTTCTGATGCTGCTGGAGTGCATACTGTGCCATGACCTATCCAAAGCATAGCCCTGGGGCGGGGACAATTGCATTTCGGGCAGTGGCCGGCATAGATGGCAGCGGCTTCCAGCACCGGGAGCGCGTCGCCATTCACTACCGGATGAGGTAGAACTTGCAACGAACACAAAGGCCTCTTCCGCCGGGGCCTTCTGGGCCTGGGAAGCGACTCCGGTCCGGCCTCAAGGTCTTACTCCGTAGCCGGCACCCCGGCACCTGCTAAGTCCTCTCCTCCTGTGATGGCCCAGGGCCTGTCCCCATTCCCGGGAGGCCGGTCACCCCCATGCGCTCCACTCCTTGATCCGCCCCATGCCTCGAGGGTGTCCAGCCCCGCCTGGGCTCGGGAGTCGCAGAGATGCTGGACTTCCTGAGCCTCATTTCTAATTGAGCCCCGTTTCTTCATCTGCAAGGGGAAACCTAATCTACCTTTTAGGTTTTGATAAAGAATTAGTGAGCTAACAATTCGTGTAAAGGATGAAGCATAAGATCCAGCACATAGTAGGAGTCTGCCCAATACGTGGAAGCTGTTATGTTTTGGGCCCTTTGGGGGAGTGTGGACCCCAAAGTCCAGCCTCTCCCTGCCTAAAGTGAATTTTATGAACACCTCCGCATAAGGGGTATTTCTGCATTCATTTATTTGTTCAACAAATATTTATTGAGTGTCTACCCATCATGTGTTGTGCTAGGCCCTGGGGATATAATAATGAGCAAAAGCAGACCTGGTCTTTGTACGCATGTTATAACTTCAATAAAAAAGTTTATTAACAAACAAACAAAAACAAGAAAGCTTAGTGCTATCAATGGCTAAAATGGCCCAGGCCCTGCAGTCCAGCATCCGGACACAACTGCTAGTCTGGTGTGCAATCAGCATAAAATACCCAGAGTCAACTCCAGGCTGCTGTCAGGTTTCTTTGCTTTGGGCCAGAATGGTATTATTGTGAGACTTTGCTTTCTCTGAACAATTTCCATTACTTTCTTCTTAAATATTGAAAAGTAGCTTGCAGATTCCCATCATTTCCTTTATAAGCTCCTAGGAATACACATTCTTCAGGTTGGAAACCATTAACAACCACCTGGCACCTTTGGGTATCTTTGCCCAGTTAGCTAAGAACTCATGTGCACTGCTTCATTTTGCTTCTAAGGATTTCAACTCATCAACTGATTTACTAACCACTTATTCTGTTCAAGTTACTGTGCGAGGAAACCGTGACAAGTAGACACATTCCTTTCCCTCAAGAATGCCGTGGGGAGTGAGGCACATGAACTTTAATGTAAGGTATACTCCTCTTATCTTTCACATAGCATTTTCACAGTGGTGCTGTGAGAGTGCAGACATGGCACATTTGACTCAATTGAAGAGATTGGGGAAAGCTTCACCGAGATAATAACATTCAAGCTAGGCTTTGAGAAGAGAGAGAAAGAGCAGGGAGCTAACAGAGGAGGAAACAGAAAGAAAAGCAATGCAAGCAAAGTAAGAGCATGGTCAAAGGCATGGAGGCATTGAAGTGAAAGGCATTCTGGGGACGGGGGACTAGTCCACAAGGCTCGCAGATGAGGAGTGGTAGAGAGTGCTTGGGGTCAGAATGTGGAGAGTCTTGAATTACACGTCAAGAGGGTTAGACTTAACCAGGTGGCATTAGGATGCCATGGGGAGAAGCAGAGAATTCTGAGGGTTAGAAAAGACCTTAGAAATAAGAGCTTCGCAACTGGGGACCCAGAGAAGGTGATTCTTTAGTGACTCCATGCAGGCATCTCTTAATCATAGCCTCCCTCTCAGAGGCTGGACAAACCACCCAAGATAACCACTCACTCTGGTGTGAGTTGAATTTAGTACCATTCACCTTGTGCACTCTAAGTGAGGGACTGAGTGCTAAATTTTGGTTCTGTCTTGGCCAATTCATTTTTGACTGTGCTTTGTAAGAAGTGTGTATTTAAGGATAGTTGGCTGAGATCTGTAGGTGGAGTATGTGTGTTCCCTGTAGTATCTATGTTATCATGTACCCTTGTTCACAGTCAAGGTTGTGTGTCTCTGCTCTTCAGGTGACCCCTTCACACTTTCTCTTCCTATGTAACTCCTGAGGTCTCCAAGTTTTGAGACATCATCATTTTCACTTACAGTGACACTAACCCCTAAGTGGCTATAGCCTTTAGTGGCTTGGAGAAGGAGATTCCCTGGCCATGTTTGCCATTCATTCATTCATCAAGTAGTTTTTTAGTGTCTATTATCGGGCCAGTTCTAAGTACTGCGGACAAAGCAGTGAACTAACCCAGCAATAATCCCTACCCATATGCATCTTTTTTCCTGGTGGGGAAAGAATGAGGCAGAGAGAAACAAAAAATAAATAAATAAGTGAAATAAGTGGCATGTTGAATGAAGATTAATGCTATGGAGAAAAATAAAGCAGGAAAAGGAGATAAGACATGCTGGAGTCTTCAGTGGTGTGTGTGTCTGTGTGTGTGTGTGTGCATGTGTGTGTGTGTACTGATGTTCAGTTTCAAATAAGATGGGCAGGGAAGGCCCCATTGAGAAGGCATCATTTGAGTAGACACCTGGAGGAGGCGATGGATGGATGAGCTAGGTGGATATGGAGGAAGAGGATTCAGCCGGAGGAAGAGCAGGCAAACAGCTCTGTGGGGAACAGCAAGGAGTTTAGTGTGGCTGGAGCTGCACACAAGGGGGAGAGCAGTAGATGAGGTTAGGGAGGTCCAGCATGGGAGGGCCTTCAGCTTCACCTTTGACCCTGAGTGAGATGGGGAGCAATAGAGGAGGCAGGAAGTGAGCAGAAGAGTGACGCAAAATGCCCTGAATATGATTGGTGGTGGGGAACCAAATACTTTTTAATCTTTTAAGGTTTTCCACAAGTTTGTTATATCCTTTAATTTTAGGTCAGCAGATTTTTTCTAGTGTTAGAAGTCTAGGAATGGACACATCCCCACCAAACCCTCTCTTTGCCTTTAGAGTAATACCTTTTAAATGACATGTAATTTTTGGGAGTGCCACTCCATTGAGGAAACGATGCATTTCTCCAGGAAAGATACTAAAGAGGCAACTTCTATTCAAATGCCATGTTCCTAAAGCATATTAGGTTAAAATTTCTCCCACCCTCTGATTAGTGCTATCTTCCATGTTTGTTTTCAAATAGCTTAAAACAGCATGTTCCAGGAACACGTGATCAGGCCTAAGGTCTGAAATTTGTCTGCCCATGGAACTCAAAAGAAATTCTCATAACACTTGTGTACAAGTGGCCACAACTTTCCCTTGAGACTCTTCATGAACTTTTCAACTCTTGTCAGAAACACCTCTGAGAGATCAAAAGTTTTTGCTCAAAGGAAATGAGCCATAAGAATGGGCAAAGTTGAACGGTTAAAAATTTTGGCTGTATTTTATCAAAACAAACACAACCTCAGAGACTTTTTCAGAAGTTCAAGTACTCCTGTTGGGCTCTGGAAGTTCTCCGCTATTGTATGTTTGGGTCACAGACTCACTGAAATCAAGTTCTGTTCTAGCTTTAAAATTCTCTTGGTCTCTGATTTTGATCCTGTCCTCTTTGGTATTTCCACCAGAGCCTTAAAGACATGAAAGGCATTCTGATCAAATTTGTGGTTATTACAAATCCAAGAGGAATAACTAATTGGTTGGATGACCATTTCAGAGTGAAAATTAGAAAGATGAAATCTAACAGAGATAAAAGTAAATGTTTACATCGGGTTTAGCAGAGTGAGGGAAATTTGCCTTGATGGAATAATTCGGTTCCAATATATTTCATTATATTCTGCCCACAGGCAATGTATGGTAGCTAGCCATGGGTAGCATCTGTTAAAGATACACCAAAAGACAATTGTATTCGGAAGGAGGAGGAGCAGGATTAGGAGGTAGCAGGTATAACCTCTCATACAAAGAACATTTAATGCAATAATGCATGCTTAGCTCAGAAAAGAGAAGCTCAGGGAAACTGAATAGTTGCTCTGGTCCATATATCTCCATATGGACGAAAGATCGGAAATCCAACAAGTGGGTGGAAGCTTCAGAGGCTAAGCCTAGCATTCTGAATTGTCCAACAGAGCAATCCACAACTTCAAAGATTAGTCACTCTAAGCAAACAAACAGAGTCTGAATTTTAATGGGTGTCGTTCTGTTTGAAGAAAGGCTGGATTATATCACTTACCTACAACATATTTTAGTGTTAGAAATAGCCTTTGAACTGGAGTCTTCTGATTACCCATCCCTCATTGTCTTTATGACCCAACATTGCTCCATCACTCTGTGCCTCCTTAAACTTATTTCTAGAATGCAGCATTCATAAAAACTATACCATCCATTGTAGTTTGCACTGTGATTGTCAGAATCAAACTTCATGAGATGAACATGTGCTCCTATGCTTTAGAGGGATATACAAAATTAGGATTTCTTTTATAGCAATTTATTCATATTTTTAAATCACATTTCAGTTAAGTCGGTGATTTTTTCTATTGTTGATTATAGGTGGAAAATGAATTGATTTACTATGTTCATGATGATAGTGAGGAGCTTCTTGACAATTTCACCATCTTTGCAAATAGCTCAGATCTTGGAAAACAGAGTTTGCCCCAAACTCTTTTTGTGGTTGTTGAATCAGTGAACGATGAGGCTCCAGTAATAACAGTCAGTAAAATCCTTCAGGTAAGTGTTCCATGCTCTTTGATTTATCATAATCACATTAGGGCTACTGATTTGATTTTCTTTTGTATTATTTCTAATTTTAAATAATAAAGCATATGACTATGTATGCATAGTTGACATATTCCTACTGGTTTTACATAAATGTTAGTTATTACCAGGCCATCCTGTTGGGCACTGTCAGGAGATGATGAATCACGATGAGTTACCGTCATATTGTATTTCTTGAGTGGGTACCTCTCACGCTGTGTTCCCTGTGGCATGGCCTTTTCTACTAGGTTGTGACAAATAAAAATGGCAAGCAATAGGATATATTGGAGAATATGAGGAAGCCATTTGGTATAAACTTAATTTGGCCTGACCTTGTCTTTCCAAAAGGGCCTGACCTTGGCTGTTGAGCATGCATTGTATATCTGCTTTAGATATTCCCTATGGCAAGAACAAAGGCCCTTGAGATAAAGGTGCAACTTCCCTCCCCCTCCCAATGTTGGCGTCTCCTTGAGGATTAAGCTTCTTTCCTTAGGCTGGAAACTGATTGCTGCCCTCACCTGTGACCGCCCAGCTCGAGACAATAGACTTGCCTCCTGCTACGCCCTCTGAGATAGCAGACCCACTACCTGCTTTGTCCATCAAGTGCTGTGCCGACACGGCAATCTTGTGATGATTGTGGGAGGGACATTTCAATCATATGTGAAACACCCTGTTTGGGGGTATATGGCCACTCTGTGCACCCCACATCTTGGGTGCCCTTTCTTCCTTTGGGAAGAAAGGCCCCGGGCCATGGTCTTCAGATTTCAGCTCAGAATAAACTCACCCAAATTTTCATTTATAGATTGGTTATGCATTATTTTCTTCGACAGTTGGGAAGGTGTTTGCACACAGGAAACTGCTGTGAGGCTGGTAGCTCGGGGGTTAAGGGAGTGGACTCTGTGGTAGAGAGTTGTGGGTGTGAATCAGCTCGCACTATTGGCTGTGTGACCTTGGGCAAGTTATTTAGCCCTAATTTGCTGTTGTATAGGTGGGCTGAAATGGAGACAGAGTTGTGAGGATTAAATGATAAAATGATATAAAACTCTTTCATAGTGCCTAACAGCTGGTTAGGGCTTAATGAATGGCAGCTATTATTACTAAAAAACTCCAAGACCACACCAGTTTTAGAATAAAATAAAGTCACAATACAGTCATGCATCAGTATTTTGCTGGTTCTGGGAACTTCTATCACCCTTCACTCTTTCTGAGAATCCCCTGGGGGTGGTTCTTTAGCACTTGCAGATAAATATGTCTTGGCTGCCACATAATGTCCACCATTTTGGTTTTCTCCTATACTGGTTTCCTGTTGGGGCTTTCATTGCCCACACAAAGGGGCTGATGTACAGGAAGCCATCTGGCTCTGATGGCACCACCTCCTGCCATACCAGCACTACCAGCGCCAATGCCAGTGAACCCATTTGTGCCAGTTTACACTTAAGTATCCCAAAGCTTTCATTTAATAAATTTTCCTGGTTTTAACTCACCACTTCTTGCTGTTTCTTCTTCTAAGGACGTGGGCACGAATCCGCTATTCTAGCTTGGAGAATGATTGTAACTATTATAATAGTAAGTGCTCAAAACATGTTGGCTATATCATGTGCCAGTTACCGCTCTAAGGGCTTATAGCTCGCTGAGATGTGTGTCGCCATTTCCCTCACTGGACAGATGAGGGAATTGCATGACAGCTGAATGACAGGCTCAGGAGAGAGTGACAGCATGGGAGTCTGATGGCTTGTTCATGCTTCTGTTCATGGTGTCCAGCAATGTCTGACACACAGGAAACAAGAAATATTTGTTAAGGCAGTGAGTAAATGAGAATATAAACTGTCAATCCTCTCCCTACCCCTCACCCACACTGGCCCATGTTTCAGAGACCAGGCTTTTGTCTTGGCTTGTTATTCCTTTGGTATGGCTGCATTTCTGGGAGAATCCTTGACCCCTCACACAAATCAGCCCCTAGTGGATTCATTCGTTAGCTATATCCACACATGGGAATCTGAATGTGTTCACGTTCAAATTTAGCTGAGACAAACCTTCCTACATACATATTGGGCAACTTCAGCCTTGTTTACACCACCCGTGAAGGCAAATAGTTAATAATAGGTTCTTTAGAAGTTTAGAGGAAGTTGATTGACCAGAGAAGATGCAGAAGAGGTAGATATGAGTAGAGGTCCAGTGGTTCCACCTGGTCATGGTGATGAGGATTTTTAGGCTGCTTAATTTTAAAATGGCTTATGATGAGGATTTTTAGGCTGGTTAGTTTTAAAACTACAGATGAGATTCAGGCTCCAAGGAGTGGAATTTGTTTTCCCCTTTGTTGGGAAACATTTAGATTTCTAAGGGAAACCTCTATCTGTGAAGATGCCTCCCTCTCTGTGCCAGGAAGAAGGGGGAATGGTCTTATCTCTAGAAGCTCTTAATGGGGAAGGCAAGAACTTAAGTTGGTTGCTGTCTGGCAATCTCATGTAACTGGTTTAGGGTGGTGGTGTCTAACCTTTCTAACCTTTACTTAATCCGATTTGATTCTTGTCTAAAAGTCATGGGATCACCCAATGACCAGACCCCACCCGCACTGATACCATTTTAACTTTTTTTCATGTTCTTTCCTTTGTCTTGTAAAGAGATGAATCATATACCTATGCCTTAAATTTAGCCCTAACCCTCAACTTGGGGCAGCAGCAGAAGCTCTGACTGCCCGTGGGTCCTGTCCCCACGCACCAGCTCTGCCTGCCCATGGGTCCTGTCCCCATGCCAGCGGGGGCAGCAGCAGCTGCTCTGCCTGCCCATGGGCCCTGTCCCCATGCCAGCAGGGGCAACAGAAGCGGCAGCAGCGGAAGCTCTGACTGCCCATGGGTCCTGTCCCCATGCTACACTATTCTCTAAATAAAAGAGCACTACTGCCAGATCTTAAGAGTCTAAGAAATCTTTCTTTCGACTCCTCGGCTCACCGACCCCTCATCAATGGTACCTCCCTTGGATAGAGGAGAGCTTGAAAATGTAGTGGGGCATTTTTTGTTGTCAGATTGACTGAAAGATGAAACTGTATTTAATGCCTGAGGGCCAGGGATGCTTAATATCTTTCACTGTACAGGACAGTCTACGAAATGGAGAAATGTCCTACTCGAAGTGCTGATAGTGTCCTGTTGAGAAACACTGTTACCCAGGGGTTGCCAGATTACAGCCCATGGGCCTCATCAGACTGCTGCCTGTTCATCTGTACACTGTGCAAGCTAAGAGTCCTTTTTATAGACGATCATTGGCAACCAATTTGATAGTAGAGAACACTAACTTTGAACTCATGTAAGCAAAATGTTATCTCTCAAAAAGAAATTCCATTCTTCTCATATTGCAAAAAATTGTATTCTATTATTACAATTTGAATTTTATCAGTAAAAACTTGTGGAAATTAATTTTTTTTCTTATTACATAAGTACCTATGTGTTATCCTCAATTTTGCCTCATGACCCACAAAGCCTAAAACTTTTACCTTCTGGTTCTTCCCAGAAAATGTATGCCAACCCCTTCTGTAGACCAGCTCTATGCAATAGGACTTCCTGTGATGATGAAAATGTTTTGTATATGTGCTGTTCAACACAGTAGCCACTACTCACATGTGGCTATGAAGTATTTGAAATGTGGCCAGTATGATTAAGGTATGGAATTTTTAATTTTATATAATTTTAATTCATTTAAATTAAATTTAAATAGCCCCATGTGCCTCATGGCTATTGTATTGGGCTGTGCAGTTCCAGGCTCTAAGGGGAGCTTCTGACAGGCAGAGGCAAGAACGTACAGGGGATAGGGAGAAAACCAACCCAGTTGGAGTCGAAGATCCGTGTCTTACGGCATAAGATTGGAAATGAGGGCCTTGAATACTATGAAAGGATTTGGACTTTATTTTGTGGCCATGGGAAGAATATGCAGATATATTCTATCTGTCTAGAAGGCCTGGGAGAATGGAGAACTTTCAAAGCCACTTTATCTTCATAGTGTTTAAAAAGGAAAAACAGAATATCGTGTTCATTGTTTTAGGGAGTCCCTCTTCCTTGCTTCAGACAGCCTCTCATTCTTTTTGGAGTCTACCTCCAGATTCTTTCCAGAATTGCCTTTTAAAGTACATTTGTTCTCCCCCCCTCCATTTCTGAAGCTCATTATAATCGTGGCTAAAGGATAGGAAGTCTATGTAGCAGTCTCTGAAGGGCCTTGTGGCTGAATTTAGTCATGGGTCTTAAAGACCCCATCACTGTTTTTCATGAGTGTTAGTTGTTGCATAGTAACCAACTAATGTAGATCAGTTGAGCTATAGGAAACGTATTTATGTATTATATATTACAGAGTGTATATAATATTTATGTCTGTATGTATCATGTGTGTTTTACGTATTTTTATATATAGTCCTTCTGTTGAAAAACAGAGGATCAAGTTGAACCCTAACAGATGACGAAACAAGCCCAGGGAGCAGTGGGGAGCCGAAGGTACTGTAACTGGTTGGTTGTAGGGTCTCCTGACTTCTACTCCAAGAATCCTTTGCTCCTACTTTCTTCTACCCTGTTTTTTTTGGGGGGTTGGGGGGCGGTGGAGCGGGGAGTGGTTAAATAAACCATTTAACTAACAAAACAATGGATAGGATTGGCGCTAGTCTAAAACAGTAGATCTTAAATGTTATTTTCTAAGTGGTACAGAATCTAGACCACCGAGCTACAAAATGGTGCAGCAGAGCCTCCATGTCTGGGTGGTGGTTGACACAAAGAGAAAAAGGGCCTTTGGTGAGAGTGGTGGCCAGGCAGGTGACAGCGAGGGACAGGAAGAAAGCAAGGAGAACAGCCGGCAATAAGGAGCAGTAAGCCTTTGACCTTAATTTATAAAATACCCCTGTGCCAATTAACTGATTGCGCAGGCACACCCGGGAGCCCACCTGGGGCTAAGCTAAGCAGAAAATTTTACATTGTTAAAAATCGCTGGGGTTTTTTAGATCTATTTTTATTTGCTCATAAAAATTGGATCTAGGAATAGGTTTTTTAGTGCTTTTAGTTATCTTCTAGCTTATCTCATTATTCAGCCTCTACATTTTAAGTGAAAAATTAGTGGTGTTTATACTTTTGGAACTTGTCACTTTATATCTGTAGTGTACCTCACAGTCATTTCCCAGGTAGCCTGGGGACGGTATGTTCTAGCGGGTCAAACTTGTAGGCACCCCCCTGTGTTTTCAGCTCCTTTTCTCCCTCTCCTCACACAGATTCTGGTTGTGTTAAGACCTTGTTGTCACATGGCGTCAGGTCCTCTCCGACTCCTGGCAACCCTGGGAGTGAGTGATGTCCGCCATGTCCTTTCGTCGACAGCCATCTTCAGCTCCTGTAGACTCGTGCCTGTGGCTTCCTTCATGGAGTCAATCCATCTCATATTTGGTCTTCCTCTTTTCCTGCTGCCTGCTACTTTTCCCAGCATTATTGTCTTTTCCAAAGAATCCTGCCTTCTCATGAGGTGCCCACAGTAGGACAGCCTCAGTTTTATCGCTTTTGCCTCCAGTGACAGTTTAGGTTTAATTTGCCCTAGGACCCACTTGTTGATCTTTCTGGCAGCCCAGGGTGTCCATAGACGTCTTCTCCAACACCATATTTCAAACAAATCAATGCTTTTCCCTGCCAGTCTTCTTCACTGTCCAGCTTTCACACCCATACATAGTAACAGGGACTATGAGGGCGTGGATAATCTTGGCCTTGGTCTCTAATGACACTTCCTTACTCTTGATGATCTTTCCTAATTCTTTCATTGCTGCCCTTCCGAGTCTCAGTCTTCTCTTGATTTCTTGGCTGTATTAATACCTACTGAACTCATTCTCAGCAAAGTGATCTGAGAGGTAGGTTGTTGGATAGAGTGAGGAATTGTACAGAGCTATAAAAGTTTATGTTTATTGTCTGCTTACCGAGTAGAGTACTGGACATCTTCCATAACTGGTGTGATTTTCGTAGCCCTACAAAGGAACCGCTGTGATTAATCTCCTCCTTGAAAAGTGGGAGCACAGGGAACGTGTGGACTTGAAGCCAAGTCTGTCCATGTCTGACTCTCTCCACCATGCTCTGCTGCTTTCCCCCATTACCCCTGACTGACTCAAGCTCTCTCAGTGCATCACGTAATCGAGGGCTGTCCTTACAGTAAGAAAAAAGCTCCAAAGCTGCTGTGCCCCTTGCTCCTACTAAAGTGGACTTTAAGGGAAGAGGCCCACAGCAGCTGTGTTGACACATATGCATCTGCACAGGAACCTTGGTGGAGGATTTGGGCGTTTTGCCATGTGATGCAGAACCACAAGATGAGAAAGATCCAGCGGAGGGACCTAGGATCTAGAAAGATACAGGAAAAGAGCTGGAGTTGGCTGAAGGAGAGAAGACCAAGAAATAAGGTAGTAAACTCTTAAGCTTCTTTATGAAAAGGAATTGAAGCCCCATTGTAGGCTTGGCTTTCGGTTCTAAGGTGCCATCTATTAGAAGATGTACCATCAACTTAATAATAGCTTTACTACATTTAAATGTAGGCATCAATTTAAATATACCCATCAAACTGTGATGGGAAAAAGTGTACCTTAGACTTTGTCTTTGTCTTCGTCTTTCCTTAAAATTAGGGAAATACAGTCTCTGCCAGGAACTTTGAGCTTGCTCAGGCAGTTTGCCCAGACTCCCTCCCTCATCCTTGATTCCAGTGTTTCTATCAAGAAAAAAAGGAAGAGTAGCTTGGGGCAGGGGCTATTGCCTTTATTCCTACCTTCTTCCCTGGATAGCTGGGTCCAGGCCAGGAAGTGGGCTACTTCTCAATTTTGATGGATGTAGTCATTTGATACTGGCTCTTTCTGAGTTTATTCATTCATTTATGTGATAAGAAACTCATTCTCTGCCTTGAAAGTTCTGGATTAAAGTTAGGAGACCAGAGTTTAAGGTTTATAAACTGCCTACCATGAGCAACATTTTTCTGGGCCTCACTTTCCTCAAGAGCAAAACCATGAGCAGGTTGCAGGGTGAGGAGTGTGTGTGTGTGTGTGTGTGTGTGTTTCCCTTGGTCATCTCTCAGTCCCTCCCAGTTCTAATGTCCTCTGGTTTTTAGGACTGTAAACCTTGCTCGATATTCTCCGGGGGAAGCTGCGCTTGGCCAGGTGGAGAGGCTGTAGGGCCGCCATTTTCTACTGGATGGATTCACTCCAATCTAGACTAGGGGAAACCTTTTCTCTTCTCTTTGAGAAACACATGAATAGTTTTGGTTTTAAAGTCAGTGGGTCTGAAATCTGGAGGTGACTAGGCATCACTGTGGAACACATTAACTAGTCACATAAAGATGTAGAAGTTTTGGCAGGATTTGCTTGATTGTTTTAAAATGGCAGAAATCTTAAGAATTTGTTTCTTCAGTTGTAGGTAAAGGTCATGGTGCTCTATCAATGAGAATCTCTCCATACTCAGGTGTTCGGCTCATTTGCCAAAACTGATATTTTTCTTTGTTTAAATTATAGCAATTGTGAATAGAGCCTTTCGAGATCTCACTGATTTTCAGTCATATGGTGCAGAATGTAGCTGCAGTTCTCCTTGAGAGTGGGTGTGTTACCCACTCTGGGAGGTCTGGTCACCCTCTGGCTCCCCAGGCTTCTGGAAGCGGTGTGTCACAGAGGCTTCCGTGAACAGGCAGCAGAGAGAGCCTGCTGTTCTCCACCCCGTGACCCTGCTTTATTCTCCTTTTACTGCCCATCACTGTCTGATATTAAGCAAATAATCTACTGTTTGTCTCCTCCCATAAGTGTAAGCTCCATGCGGAAGGGACATTGTGTTTTCCCTGTGGTACCTCAGTGCCTGGCACAGTACCTGGGACACAAGTATTGAATGCCTAAGTGCCCTCAGGGAGCTTCTGCTCAGGGGGGGAGGCAATGAAATGATGTGATAAACAGTGACGATCTGCTGTGTCTTTCTGCAAAGCATTTAAGGGGACAGAGAGTCACGGGGTTAGAGAATGCTGACATTGCAGGGAGCGGGTGAGGGAAGGTCTCTCCAAGGAAGGGACATTTGAGTGGAGGCCTGTGTGTCAGGAGTTCCCGAGACCTCCCTTGGTCAGTTGATTACCAGGGACTCATAGAACTCAGCATATTGTCAAACTCGGGTAAGATTTATTACAGTGAGAGATGCAAAGAAAATCAGCACAGAGAAAAGGCATGTGACTGAAGCCCAGAGGAAACTAAGGCAAACTCCGAGTCTCCACAGTGAAGTCACACAGGGCGCACTTAATTCCTCCGGGAACAAGTTGTGACAACACACAGGAAGTATTGCCTACAAGAAAGTTCCTTAGATACTGAGAGCCAAGATTTTGATTGGGGGTTGGTCTGGTGGGCACCCGCTGCCTTGTATGTACCAGAATCCCAGACTCCCAGAAGGAAAGCAGGTGTCCAGCACAAACCACATTCTTCCTGCAAACGGTTTAGATACAGTGAGCCGCTCTTATCATTCAGAGCAAGTTTTATATCAGTTCAGGAAACTGTTTCCCTCACACCAGCCAAGGGCCAATTTTGCAAGCAGGCCTTTCCAAGGAAAGTCAGTTTTAAGTCTGCCGTGTTTCCTCTTTTTTTGAATACAGGATGGGGGTGGGGGTGATTAGGTGGGAGAGCAAGGAGCCATATGAATGTTAGAGGGAGGAGCATTCCCAGCAAAAGAATAATCCAGAGCAAAAGTAGTGAGTCTGTAGAGGGCCTGGTGTGTTCAAGGACATGAAAAGCTCAAAGTGACTGGACCAGGTGGAGAGTGGTAAGATATTAGGTTCCATGGTGAGAGTTGATTTCTGAGCATGAGGACCCCGACGCCTGACTGTTTTGTTCCATTGCCCTCCAGAGATAATGGTGGGAAGTGGGCCAGCATTTATGGAGCCCCTGCTGTAAGCCAGGCTCAGTTCTGAAAGCATCACATGTGATTTCTCGTTCACTTCTCTCAACAACCCTTGGCATAGAATGAGGATCACAGTAGATGTGGGGAGAGGTGGGGCAGAGAAAGGGTAAGTCGCCTTGCCAGGGTCGTATAGTTAGTAAGAGAGACAATGGGATTTGAGCCCAGGCGGTCTGAGCATGGAGTCCGCACTCTGCTATCCACAGTGGGAGGGATCTGGAACAGTGTTTTAAAGCTCAGGTTGCAACCTATTAGTAGGCTATGAAATTAATTGAGTGGATCAGGACCACTATTTAAAAAACAAATTCAATAGAATAAAATAGATATTATTGGAATGCACAGTGTGTAATGAGAGTAAGTATTGTTTTATGAAACTTTTCCTTCAGATGCATATATAAATATGTTGGATTTTAAACATACACACATACAAATATGCATATGTGTAGTAAGTTACCATGTAAAGTGTGTTCCTTACTTTGGGTGCTAATTAAAAAATATTGTAAGCCACTGATCTAGCAAAGCTAGATGTTTTTATATGGATAAATCACTTTTTTTTTATCACTCTTTTGTTTCCAGGACCTCCTACAGGTTGAGTAAATCCTAGGAGTTCGTTTACGGAAATTTATATTTACCAGGGCCCCTAGAAACGGGTATAATAGGATTATAACAGAATTGATGTTGCCTATAACAACCCCCCTAATACCCCTTTATCAGGATAGTTTCCTATGTGTCAGAGGTCTCTGTGTTGGGGCGGCACGTCGAACTGTTGTCCTCAGCTTTGAAGTCTCCCTGTGACTGCCCAGCACCATAGCCCCTCCTGCCGGGTTAACCTGCCTGCCCAGACGCTGCCCAGCTGCTGTGTTCTCTCTGACAGGGAAGGATTTGAGATGGAAGGACAAGGTACATTGTCTGCAAACCTGGCTGATTTACTTTACGATCTGCTACTGTGGCCCAAAGTCATGGTGTGAAGGGGAAATACAGAAAAGGAAGAACAGAATAAATTATAAAATTCTAAATATTTGA